TCCTCCGGGGTCTTCCCCGGTTTCTCCGTGGCATCCCAACAATTACTCATTACTCCATACACACAGAAGAAGGCAATGGCAAAGCACTTCTGGATCATCTGCCAAGAACGTATATGAACAGGTCCCAGTCCGAGAAAAGGATGGAAGGATCCTGTTCATATGGACCTGTCGTCAGACAGAACACTAAATAATAATAATAAAATAATTTCTGTTTATCAGGGACGTTCAGTGCTGAAATGGTTGGCGTCTCCTCAGCTGCGATGGGCAACGTCTTCATCGTAATTTGCTGCTCTTGGATTGGTCCTGCACGTAAGTTCCCAGTTCATGTAACCTCTTAAGTGATGGTTCTATACTCTTTTGGTTTTAACATCTAATCGTTCACCGATGTTAACATTTTGTCGAACTGCTTCACGTACACGCAATTCCGGCATTTTAAAATGTTCAAATATGTACATTTCAAATTCCTTCCACGCCTTTACGACTAGTAATCATAAACACGTAACAATTCAGTTACATTACTGTGTCCATTCTCATATCGACAGAAGCACATATCGTATTAAACATATTACTATCAGCTCAACGTTTCGGAGAAACACGTTGCCTCCATCTTCAGGACTGAATATAGAAAACAACGTTTCTTCAAAATCTTGGTCTCTACCTAAGAATGCACGTGACGTGGTCATTCTCACCGCAGACAGAACCTCAAACCTCCCACATCAGCTCAGTTATAACGAAGGTGATCTGTCTCTGACTTCCTTGGGTAATCTCTGTAATGTACCATCGGACCATTTGAGAGACTTTCGGCTTCTCGACAAGGACTCTGTCCGTTTAATCACACAGCCAACGATTTAACAGACAATAAAGTGATTAAATTATCAGTCTGAGATGAGAGGTGTAGATGAGTTCCGACTGTCTGGAAGTACTATCGTATTTGAGAAAGTGATGTTCCAAATGTAAATCGAATGTTTCGATAAGGAGCATCACATGGTATTTTAAATATCTTAATTTTAAATTTTAAATTGATTAATTAATTAAATATATATTTTCACAATATGACGCAACTCTATCATCTTATGATTAAATCTAATTAAAAACACAAAGTAAACAGATTATTCTGATCACATAATAAAAAAAATCATTAAATTAAACATAAAAAGTGCGAATAACATCAGTAAACTGAATGCAGATATTCTTTGAATACTGTAATAATACTATGGACAAGACAAGATTATCCAGTCATAATTACGATATTTAAAAATAATCACACTGGATGCACTCAATACATTGACAGTCACGTGGTGTGTACGCACCTCAGTACTTTGCCGGAAGTTGCTGGCTTCCGTCTCTCAAGCACGACCAACCTGGAGGGCTTCCGCCCGCCCCATCATACAGAGCTTAAAAATGAAAACCGAGCAAAAGCTCTCCTAAGAGTCATCTGTTGTACACTCTGTCCAACAAAAATCATGCTCCTACAATCCAAGGTTCGAAAACGGAAGTGATTCAACCGCTCATGTGTCGTTATAATTCCAGTCAACCGCAATTTCCTTGTGTTTTTATCCGCGTGTATCTTCTCACCACATTCCATAAAATGCAATTATTTATTCACGATATCTATTACGCAAAGACACCTAAATGTGTACCTGCCGTGAAGACTTCTTCTGAAATCACTGGCGAAGTTCGTGTAAGTTCTGTTAATAAAATCTTCTCGGACAATCAGCCGCGTCAACTGGTTCCCGAAACGTCGGTTTACTACGGTAACCAGTCTGTTTGCCCGAGAAGATTTCATTGATTTTACTAGCCGTGAAAGTCTCAAATCTTATATCTCAGCACTGCTGTGTGTGCGTACGAGGTGCGATCAGAAAGTTTCCAGACTGCGCCTATAAAAACCCGTACACTTATCTCAGGTATTAAATTCATCCATCACCCTCGAAGTAGTTCCCCTGGGAGTGAACACAACGATCCCAG